CTCTCTGGGCCACAGTTACTTCTTCCCTAGGCAACATCAGACCTCTGGGGGCACCAGGTCTGGCCCTCGCTTCTGAGAGAGGATGGCCCTCACTTCCATTTAAGTAGAAGTCATGCTGTGCGGTCCTGAAGAGACAAGCTCTGGAACCAGACTGGATGGGTTTCAGTCTCCACCATTTGTTGGCCTGTGACCCTGAACGGCTTTCCGAACCTCCATGTGCCTCCATTTCCCTGTGTGTAGAAGGCGATGGCAGTAGCAGTGGCGTAGAGCGGCTGTGAGGATTGAAAAGGGGGACGCCGATCCGACTGTCCCAGTGAACACTGTATTTGCACAGGTCCTTTTGCACAAAAGTGCTCAGTAAATGTTCACGACTGTCGCTCTTGTTATGAGAGCGAGAGAAGCGGTAGCAGCTCCCCACATAAGTGTAAATAAAGCCTGGATTAGAGGCCGGCTGGCCCTGTAGCAGCAGTGTGGCCGGGTGGCCTCCGGAGCACCCCGCTGGCAGGAAGGAAGCTGGTTGGCCCCTCTTGGCTTGACACACCCACAGAGAACCCGCACTTCGCTCTTGCCTAGTGGTGCTCTCCACCCTGGCATCACCTCTGATCAGCAGAACAGAACTGGGTGGAATAACGGCCTGAGATGAGCTGGTTGGGGGGTGCTGTTCCAGAGATGGGGTGCTGTTCCAGAGAAAGGGGGGTGCTGTTCCAGAGATGGGGGTGCTGTTCCAGAGAAAGGGAGGTGCTGTTCCAGAGATGGGGGGGTGCTGTTCCAGAGAGGAGGATGCTGTTCCAGAGATGGGAGTGCTGTTCCAGAGATGGGGGTGCTGTTCCAGAGATGGGGGTGCTGTTCCAGAGATGGGGGTGCTGTCCCCAGAGATGGGGGTGCTGTTCCAGAGAAAGGGAAGGGAAGATACCCAACTTGGAAAAACACTGACAGCGGAATTGGGTTTGGCTCCTGTGGCTCCAAAAATGGCCCATGGGGTGGCAAAACTCCTGAGCCCAGTGGCAGAGGGCAGAGGGCGCTGTGGGACTAGGAGGGGACTGTGTCTCCGTGACCTGGAGCTCCTGGCATCTCTGATGTCTGGAGTAGTCGTCTCAGCCCCTGCTGGGCACCGGCCTCCCTCCGTGCTGCTGCTTCTGTGCTGTGGAAAAAGGGCCACTGTGCCCGGGCTCAGAGGGCAGTGCTGGTAACCGAGCATCTTCTCGGTGTCCTGCACTTGCGGTGCCGCCGGCCCAGGCATTTCTGCCAGATCTGCGGGCGGGTGCTCGGGGTGGGATCTTCCGGCTTCAGTGTCCTCTGCTGGTTGCCCGCCTTCCTGCAGGCTGGAGGGAGGTCCGTGAGGCTTATGCTTCAGGACCATCCGTTGCACGTCCCCCTTCCAAGCCCCTAGTCTGCTTATTTGTAAAGCAGTTTCATTGGAGTTTAATTGCCATACGGTGAACTGTACGTATTTGAAGTGGACAGTTTGGTTAAGTTTTGACAGATGTACACACACCTAGGAAGCCAGTTGCTACCGTCAAGAGAGTAAACATGTCCATCTTCACCTGAAATGATCTTTACCTCACTTTGCATTTATGTTTTTAATTTTTTTTAAAGATTTTATTTATTTATTTGACAGACTGAGATCACAAGTAGGCAGAGAGGCAGGCAGAGAGAGGGGGGGAGCAGGCTCCCTGCTGAGCAGAGAGCCCGATGCGGGGCTCGATCCCAGGACCCTGGGATCATGACCTGAGCCAAAGGCAGAGGCTTTAACCCACTGAGCCACCCAGGTGCCCCTCACTTTGCATTTATTTTTTTTTTTATTTTATTTTATTTTTTTTTTTATTTAAAGATTTTTATTTATTTATTTGACAGAGAGATCACAAGCAGGCAGAGAGGCAGGCAGAGAGAGAGGAGGAAGCAGGCTCCCTGCTGAGCAGAGAGCCCGATGTGGGGCTCGATCCCAGGACTCTGAGATCATGACCTGAGCCGAAGGCAGCGGCTTAACCCACTGAGCCACCCAGGCGCCCCTCACTTTGCATTTATATGATAAATTCTTTTTCTCAAAGAGAGCCTTCCAAGTTTTAGATGCTTCAGGCTCCGTAGAAATCAGGATTTGCTCCTGCAAATCAAATCAAATCAAATCAAATGAGGCTGGGATAAGGAAGCACTTTAACAGCTATGTTGGACTAGTTGGAAGTAAAAAGCAATTTGCTTTTATTTAATGTATACCTTACCTGTCGGAGGCCAAAATGCCTTGTGGGACATCTGGTCAGCATCTTCTCACCATTCCCTTGTCATTCATTTAACACGTATTTACGGGGAGCCCACTACAGAAGACGGCAGGCAGCGTTCTAGGTGTTGGGTGTGGACAAGTGAATAAACAGACAAAACCCCCTGTTCTCAGGAGCTTTTCTTCCATTGGGGGTGAGGGTGGGGGGTGGTGCTCTGAGTGAGCAAGCAGATCGTGCGGTGTGTCAGAAGGTGCTGGGGAGAACAGCAAAGATGCGAGGCCGTCGCAGGGGGGTGGGTGGGTGGGGGCTGGCGTCAGCCGTCAGCAGAGAGTTCGGGAAGCTGTCTCTTAAGACAGAGGCACCTGAGCAAAGAAGGCGTCCAGGGCGGGAAGGGGAGGGAGTGGGCCGTGTGTGGCGGGGCTGAGAACGAGGCACATGGAGGTCCTCAAGTGGGACCTCAGGTGGGAGCGGGCCAGGCACGTCTCAGGAACGACCAGGAGACCCAGTGGAGATGCTGCACGGTCAGAGCGGCCGGGCTGGGGATGGAGTGAACAGGCTCTGGGGGCTTCCAGGCCATTGCAGGGGCTTGAACACTTGCAATCTGAGCGAGATGGGAAGCCATTGGAGGCTGTTTGAGCCACGGGGTTGCTGTGGCTGCCGTGTTAAGAATAGGCTGAGGGCACGTGGTCCAGGTAGAAGGCCACAGAGGATGGGAGCTTGGACCATGGAGGGTGAGGTGGTGATACGTGGCTAGATACCAGATATACATTTGACCTTTGAACAGTGTGGGTGTCAGAGGGGCCAACCTATACCCCACTCCCACCCCCAGCACAGACACAGTGCACAATCCACGTATAACTTGACTCTCCCAGAGCTTGACTACTAATGGCCCACTGCTGACCAGAGCCTTTCCAGTAATATAAACAGTCGATTCCCCTGCCTTTCCCAGCAGCAGCCCCTGGAGCTCACCCTTCCCTGGAGCGCGCCCTCCAGCTCTGTGATCAGTCTCCTGGTCTCAGGATCCCTCCCTCCTCCCTTGCTCTTCTCCTTGTTCCCAGGCTGGGCCCTGAACTGGACTACTCGCACGGTCCTCTTCCTTTAACAGGAAAGGAAACTGAGCCACAGAGAGCTCTCATTGAGCTCAGGTTAAGGTCTGCTTCCGAAGTCTGTAAACATTTGGTTAGAATCATCTGGAGGAGGAACCTTAAAAGGGCTTGGTTTAAGAAGGGAAGTCTGGCTGAAGGTCCAGGAGGAATGGGATGTGCCAAGATCCCATATCTTGTTTTTGGAGCCACTGGGCTACACCCAGCTCCCAATTCCCAGTTCTGGCGATGACTTAGACCCTCTGGCCAGTGATCAGAGCGTTTCCTAACTGCGGCGTGAGTGTCTCTCGTTAGACATGGTGTGGGACTGTTCAGCAGTCTTTGAACATTCGTTTAAAGGAGCCCGTGGAATACCTCTCAGTGGAGAGCTTTGAGAAGCGATGCGCCCCCGGATCCCTGTTTTAGGTGCAGACCAGCCCGCAGGTGATAGCCTCAGGGTCTGGTCCTCCCCCACCCCTTCCCCTGACACAGACTGTCCAGTGCTCCCAGGCCAGCTAGTCTTCCTGGCAGACAAGTCCTCCCGAGGGTGGCCTCTTACTTCAGTTTTGGCAGTGGGGAAAGGTCATCTGGGGGGCCAGCTTGGCCTTGGCTGTGCTCTCCAGTTACAGCGGGGTGGCGGACAGCCCACTTGTCTCACCCCTGCCCCCCCGCACCTCCTGACTCATAGCCACAGCCCTCCAGGCTCAGCAAGGGCCGGCGGGATGGAGTGGGCTGGTGGCTGTGCTGCTGGCCCCCGAGCTGGCCCCAGAGCGGGCCCAGGGAGGTGACAGCTCCTGCTCAAACCCCCTTGCCCTCCCTCTCCCTAGCCCAATGCCCTTCTTTATAGTCGAATCCTACCCAGTGATCAAGGTCCAGCAGAAGGCTCACCTGACCACCCAGCCTGAGCTGACCCCTGTGCTCTGAGCACACTCTGTTCAGTTGCCCGCACTGTCTGTGGCCCGCACTGGGGTTACAGCATGGGCACACGTCTCTCCTCAGCTGTGTGGTGGTTGCTTTGAAAACAGAACCGCCTTTCATAATTGCATTTACAATAGTAGAGGACGTGGGTGGCTCCTTACAGTTTTTCAGGGTCCCTTAGACACAGCCTCAGCCTCTAAGAGACAGCTCCCTTGGCAAACGCTCAGTACGACCGGTGACTGGTCTGGTCAGAGCCATGCAGCTAGAGGTGTGGGCTGCCCCGGTTTTCTTGATCTGAGTTAAGGGCCTCAGGCCTCCTGCCTGAGGATGCTCGGGGTCTTAGCACTTATGTCTCTCATCCCCCCTGCTGCCCACAGACAAGGCAAGACCTCTCGTGAGGTACTGCTCATCTCTGGAGGTGGTGGAAGCTGTGTGGGCAGGGGGCTGCATGGGCGAGTGTCAAGATCCAGGCACTTCCCTGCAGCCTCCCAAGTGTGCAGAAGGCCCTAGGAGGAAGCAGGACAGATTGGCAGCTGTCCCACTGTTGTAGAGTGGGGGGAGGAGGTGGCCTCTGAGAGGGCTCCTCGAGTTCGTATGGGGCTCACAGCCCTGTCACCTCCTTGCTCTCAGGTTACCAGTCCCCCAGCTAGGCCTGTTGCTGCTGGGAGATCCCTGGGATCCAAGGAGGGCGGGAGGGAAACTGCAGAATCCTCACCCCAAGTCCCCACTCAAGGTGGGCAGAGGGTGAGGGAAGGGATCCTCAGATCCTTCCGTGTTTCTGCCTTTTGTCCTTCGCCCGCTGAGAGGCTGTTGGTGTCTCTGTAGGTCGGAATGAGCTGATTGCCCGCTACATCAAGCTCCGGACAGGGAAGACCCGCACCAGGAAGCAGGTGGGCCCTGGGGGATGAGTGTGGGTCCCAGGGGTAGGTACCCCAGTCCCAGCCTGCTCCCGTGGTGGGCCAGGCCCCCTGCAGGTCCAAGGGTGGCTTCTCAGTGGGGCTGGTTCAGAGGGGTTATCTCTTTCTGGTGTGCCACAGACCGTTCAGTTTCCCTGCAGTCCCTGCTGCCATCAGCTGGGAGAAAGTCCCCCGCTCCCGTCCCCAGGACACTGGAAGAACAGAGAGCGAAGGACTAGTGCTGTACTTTGATTTATTGCCAGACTCTGGGTTAGCTGGATGTGGCGGGACTGAAGACCCATCACTGACTGCCCCTTTCACTCACTCATTCCACAGACGTGGCTTGAGGATGGTGCAGGGCTGAGGGTCAAGGAGCCAGCATGGGGAGCACAGACCTCCTGGGAGGTAGGGACAGGAGCCTTCTCTTCTTGCTACAGGTCTCCAGCCACATCCAGGTGCTGGCTCGTCGCAAAGCCCGCGAGATCCAGGCCAAGCTAAAGGTAAGGCAAACCAGCAGTGGTGGGAAGGAGGACCGAGGGCATAGGCGGGGCCGGCTTCCTAGAAGTTAGGGCTCTTTTTCCCTTTGGGTTCAGGGACTGGCCGTTGGTGGGCAGAGCCAGCGTGCTTCTTGGTGTTGAGAAGAGTGGGGTTCAGCCTGTAACTGCTCTTGTCTGCACCGGGAATGACAGTTGAGCTGTGTGTGTGTGACCCCCAGGCCCTGCAGTATCCCCCTTCCCGGGCAATTTACTCCCCAGGTCACAGCGGGATTGCCCTCTACGCCCCATTCCTTGAGGACCTCGTGGAGGCCCAGACCCCTTAGTGCCATCCCCTGAGCCTGCAGGGTGGGCATGGGCAAGCTTGGGAAGCCCTGCTGTGGGGGTGGGGTGGCTTTTCCCCAGGAGCTGGGAGAGTGCCCCCCCACACTCCACTGTCAGATGGTTGGTTCTCTCCCCTTCCCAGATCAGCCCCACCTGACAGTCCCCAGTCCCCAGTTCCCAGAACAGTCCCCAGCAGAGGGCTGCTCCGGGTAGGCCCTGCTGCTGACAGGACACCCCTTGGGGTGGTCTGTTCCCCACAGGACTCAGGCCTCCTGGATGCCAGAGTCAGGGGACCCTTTCAGGGACCACCAGGTGGGAGTGAGCTCGCTGTCCTACAGGCTTTGTAGCAGAGCTTGCCCAGCTACCAGGCAGGAAGAGCTGACGTTTAGGGCTGTCAGACTGAGACCAGCAGTTAACATACTTTTTTTTTCAGCCCTTTTTTTTTTCCCCCAAACAGAATATCACACCAGTACGTTATCACAGGAGCTGCCCTGGTCAAAGCTAGGTTGGTGAGGAATAGGCCAGAGACCCCTTGCTCCTATCCACCTCTCAGGCCCTGCGGCTCTTGAACCCCAAAGTAGCTCAGAGCCCAATTAAAAACCTGCACTAGATGAGCTTGAAGGTCCCTGTGGCTCTGGTTGTTGGTGACCCTGACCCTGGAGGCTCTGAACGAGTGGTGGAACTCCCAGGAAGCCGCGCCCCATGGCCCACTCGGCCCAGCTGTCCCCCGCCCCCACAGTTGCAGCCCAGCACCTCGCTCCTTTGTTCCCTGGACAGCTGGCTGGGCCTCAGCTGTCGCTCCCTCCCTCTCAGGCCGAGAACACATACTCCTGGAGACCCCCCGGGGTCTGGAGTCCAGCTTGCTCCCACTTCCCCTCTCTGGTCTGCCTCTGACTTGCTGGGACCCTGGCAGAGAGCTAGAATGGAGAAGAGACTTTCCAGTGTTCTGTTTACGGCCATTGAGGGAAACTTTTAATTCCCTTGGGGACCATCTGTATGGCCCCCATTTGCTTCAAGGAATTGCTACCTTTGTCTATAGGCTGTAACTTACAGGCTGGGGAGAGCTCTGCTAGACCACTGGACGGACATCGAGGGAAGCCATGAGCCCCTTAAATAACACGCAGATCTTTGTGTGCGTGCGTTTTCTTGGAGAGGGTGGTCTGAGGATTTTGTCATATTCTCAGAGGGGTCTGGGACCCGGCATAATTTGTCTCCCTGGACAGACTTCTTATTTGGTGGAAATCCCCCAGGACTCGGGACCGGGTGTAGCTGGCTCTGCCCTTGTGCCACGGGGGCGTGGTGAGTCACTGGCCTTCCTTGAGCTCTATTGATTTTAAGATGTAAAATGACAAGGGGAAGCATGGTTGTCTGAGGTCCTCTCCAGTCCCCAAATTCAGTGTCTCCCTGGCTTTGTAACCTGGGCACTGATGTCACGCCCCATAGCATCTTTCCCACTTCGCCCTGATTCCTGTTCCACCCTGGTGACAACGTGGTTTCCTGAGCCCCGGTCGCCTGTTTAGATCAGCTATCCGGGAAGGGACGTAAGTTGCTGACATTGAGCGGATGGAGCTCTCTGGCCTCATGGGGCAGTTGTTAACCACAGAGGTCCACAGGCTTTCTGAGTGTTCGGCCTCCTGCATCACACATGTCCTCCTGGAGGGAGAGGCCTGGGCCGGCTGGCCTTGTGCATTTGGCTTTTCTCTCCTGAACTTGGTGCACCTGTCTTCGGGAAGAGGCCCCCTTATGCTGAGAGCTCCCTCTTTGGTTATCGAAAGCCTCTGAGAACAAAGCCCAGGTTTGACCCGAAAGGACAATGGCTTGAGGATGAGCCCTCCTCTCAGAACGGTCTCTTGTGCCTTCTGTGCTGTGTGTACCCTTCTCTCCCCCATCCCCTGCCCTGGGCCTGCAGAGGCCAACCTGGACCAAGCTCTCGGGCCAGCCACCACCACGGTCAGTGCCCTAAATTCTCGGAGCTTCTGTTTTCTTCCTCTTAAAATGGGGATCCTGCCTGTCTTGCCAGCCTCACAGAAGTGCTCTGAGGTTCAGAATCAAAGTGCAGGCGTGTTCTTGACCTTCTCTGGGCCATCTTGTGCCACATGAGTGCACATGGTCCTGGCGAGGCCGAGTGGCAGGGCCTCTGCAGTTCTGGCTCCACAGTCCTGAGGTGCTGGGACGCTGGTCCCCTCATGGTGGTGCGTGCTTCACAGGGCTGTTGTGGGGGCCGAGGGAAATTGTCTTGTGGGAGTGTCGGGAGTGGCAAGGGCCTCCGTCAGTTCTCCCTTGTCTGGGACTTGGGACAGATCTGGGTCTACCATCTTGATTATCAGATAATGGCTCATTTATTTTTCCCTTTTAAATATATTCATCATAAAGACAGAGTTGACATAATCCGGTCTCTTGGCCTCAGCTAAGATACATACACTGAGTAAAACTTGCCATCCTAGTCTATATGTTGGACAAAAACACAGTTCCCATTAGGCTTTTTGAAGTACAGAAAACTGAATAAAGAAATACTGAAATACGTGTCATCATTTTGAAGACCTGTGGGATTGGGGCGCTGTGGCCCAGAGCTGCTAGCTTACACACGCATACATGTTATTACTATGACTGTTCTCGTCCGTGTCGCACGTGCTCACAGATGCTTTCCTGTGCACTTGTTAGTTCAGAGCCTCTGCAGGGTGAACCTGTTCTTTGGTGTCTTTGGACCCACGGAGGGGATGTAATGGGTGTTGACACCTGCCACGTAAAAGGCGGGGGTGCCTTGGGTGTCCACAGTGCAAGGGGAGACCCATGGGGCAGGACAGGGACAGGTCGGACCACAGGAGACCGTCCCATGCCTGCAAACAGCCCGTGTGGCTGCAGAGGTGGACTCCTGTCTGTTTTAGGAGGGCTCTGACATATTTATGTAGTATCATCTTCCGTGAGCCAGGTCCCATGCCAGCTGCCGGGGCGTGCAGGCAAACAAGGACTAAAAGGCTTCTCAGAATGTCCCCGTGCAGACACGGTCTGGCAGGTGGTTTCCCAAGGCCCTTAAACTCTAATGAAATAGACTAGACAAGTATTTCGCCCCATGGCAGAGGAGGAAACTGATCAGAGGAACTGAGTGACCTGTGCTCAGTCACAGACCAAGTTCATAGCACTGCAGGGGCGAGAGCCTGGTCCCCCAGGGCCTTGTCCAGGGCTCTGGCCACTGGCGGTGGGACAGCTTCCCTGAGCACAAGCCCGGAGCACTCGCCCACACCTGCTGTAGTGACCGCTGCTGAGGCCCTCCCTTCCAATGTCTCCCCAGGACCAGGCAGCTAAGGACAAGGCCCTGCAGAGCATGGCTCCCATGTCGCCCGCCCAGGCCATCTCCGCCACAGCCTTCCACAGTAAAATGGCCCTCGCCCGGGGCCCAGGCCACCCAGCAGTCTCAGGGGTAAGTGGGGCTGCCTGGAGCCAGAGGCCGAGCCAGCCCCTTCTTCTCACTCCTTCCCATCCTGAGGAGCTGGAGGCACTGGCCAGGCCCCATTTCTCTTGAGTCCTCCCAGGCCCGAAGAACCAAGAGGAAGGAGGGACCAAGGACTGAGGGGCCACGCTGAGGCATGGCTCTGCTGGCATTGGCACTGGCCTATCGGGGGCCTTGCTAGTGACGCAGCAGGCCTTCCACAAGGGGCAGAGCTGCCTCCAGTAGCCGGCCAACTGGGTAGCTCTACAGAGTTGGCCTGATTGACGGATGGGAGCTGAAGCCTGAGGCTTCGGTGCGGCATCAGCGCAGGCCTGAGCAGCCCTCCACCGCTCAGCCAGTCCCCATGCCCCACAGGCACTCAGCACTGCTCTCCTGCCACTCAGAGAGCTGATGCTCAGGAACAGACCCTTGTTTGGATTTTAAATTTCTTGACTGGGGCCAGCTTGGTGACACTTTCAGAATGGTCTAGAAAGGCTCCTCCTTTCCAGGGCTGTGTCCTCACAGGGTTTTCTTGGCTGCAGGGACTAAATCGGTCTTCACAATGCACCCACAGCACCACCCTCAGCGTGTGGGGTTGGGACCAGGACTGGCCCCTTGCTCAGTGACCCTCTCGTCCGGCGGTTTTCAGAGTGTGTTCCAGAGACCGCTAGTCCCTCAGGATATTGCCTAGATAACGACACAAAGTTATCATGTATGAGGAAGTTTGGGACACTTAGAACTAAATAGGTTTCTGAAATCTGGGACTGTTTGGGCCTGATGTGCTGCTATGCACTGTGGGCTTCTAAGGGAGGAATATCCCTGCTGTGATGCCGAACCTGGGCTTTCTCCCGAGGAGCACCTTCTCAGCAGAGCAGGTCCAGAGACTAGAGCTCCTCGAAACACTTGTGCTGGACAGTAGTGCTAACTCTCTCCTTACCACCCACTGGGTCCAGGCCCCCAGCCCCGCCTTCCAACTGAGGCCTGCCTGGCCTCCCTGCACCGCGGCCCACGTGCCTGGTCCTGTGCTCACTCTGCGCTTTTTGCCTCCTCAGTTTTGGCAAGGAGCTTTGCCGGGCCAAGCTGGAACATCCCACGAGTGAGTATGGCCTGCTGCCAGTTGCTCTCTGAGCTGAACCTGAGTGCATAAACGTGTGCTGTGGAGCCTGGCCCCCAGTCTGGAACAGGACCGCGGGCTGGCCTCAGCCTTTTAGCAGGGGCTGGAGCTTTGAAATCAGGGTCTCCCGCTCGCAGGCAACAGCTCAGTCTGCAGCATGGACACCCTGGGGTGGCATTTGCCGAAACGCCACTCTGTCCAGGGTGAAGCAGGGCCAAAGCTTGGGACCCCGAGGGAAGGAGGCCGGGGAGCTGCCCTCTGGCTGGCCAGGGAGGGAGGGAGGACGAGAGGGAGGGGTGGATTTTCCCAGTAGACATGCTACTTCTGTGGGTCATCCATGAGACCATGAGTCCACTGGATGGACTTGGCAGGGGAGGGAGCAGGTGGCCAGGACCCACCAAGGCCACTGATGGCCAGGCCACCAGGACCAGACCCACAGAGCGTGCTGGACACTGCTGGAGGCTCCTGGGCTGCTGCCTGCCCTAAGGCTTACACCTGCTCTCTCCTGTCTCCCACAGTGTGAAACCTTTCTCTCAGCAAACCTACACTGTCCAGCCTTCGCTGCCTCTGCCAGGTGGGTCGGCAGTGCACGGCTCCCTGGCACCTCGCACGCCTGCAGCTCCTGCCCCCCCACCCAGGTCCCAGGCCCCCTGACAACTGGACAGCTCATGATCTGTTTAGATGCGGCCCTGGTGCATGCTCAGAACAGACATCCCAGTCTCCTGGCTCTGCCCCTTGCCTTTCCCCTACCATGCACACCTCTGTGCTACACCAAGCCCCTTGTGCCAGTTGGGCTGCCTGACCTGCTCCCCAGCTTGGGCTCAGGGCCTTCAGGGGTGCACACAGTCCAAAGGGGAGTGCCTGTGCCCCAGGGCCGCTTTTCCACCTGGTTGCCCCTGTATACTGCATGAGTGCCCCGGACAGCTTGGCTCTTGGAATGGCCCCCTTCTTGGTGACACTGTAGTCTTCTCCTTCAAAATAGGAGATCTGAGGAGAGCATGGCTTTCTGGCCTGGAGCTGCTGGCTAGCAGAGGGAGCCCTCCTAAGCAGAGCTGTGGAGCATGGGTGTCCCTCCTCCCTGTTCAGGGGACACTTCTTTCTCATAAGGGTCCCTCACCTCCTTCCTTCTCTGCAGGACAAGGCAGGATCCTCACCCTTAACCACCTTTTCTGGCCTGGGGAATGACTCTGCTGACCTTCTAGCCTGGCTTGTCCTGTCCTGAGAGCAGTGTGCTCCCCTCTTGGGGTTCTGATGGCTGCTTTCTCCCAGCCCCAAGTAACCCACCCTCCTGTCTGTCCCCTCCTCTTCCTGGCCTTAGTCTCGGTTCAGGCCCTCCTCCTCTTGCCTACATGACTGCAGTAGACTCCCAACCTGTGTCCCGTTTTATCTTGCCTCCTCTCTTCACCCCGTGATTCACCTCCGTGACCTTTATGAAGCATCCATCCCACCCTGTGGTTCCTAGGCTTAACATCTTTTCCTGGCTTCCGGGTGCCTTCTGGGTATGATCTAAAGTCAGTAGTAGGACTTGCATGGCTTTCCTTGGTGACTCAGCTTCTCTCCTCTCTCTCCTGCCCTCCGTGCCTCCACCCGCCCTGCCTCTGGGCTGTGGCTCAGGCTCCCCGTCCTACAAGTTCTCTGCCCTGCCCCTGCCCAGCTTAGGCACCCTGAGCGCTCTGCGCCCCCATCTAGCCCTTGATGCTTTTTATTGCCAGTATCGGGTTGGGGGGCCCAGTGTCTGTGAGCGACTGGTCTGCACTTCCACGGAGCACATCCTCTGTGAGCAGTGCCGCACCGATGAGCGAGCCATTCAGCTGGGGCATTAGGCATGGCTAACGTGTCCAGCACGGCCCTCCGCCCACCCCTTGTTTCTTCTCCGATTCCTTCCTTGAGTGCTCCTGACTTACCCACCTCAGCACGCGGGGCCCCCCGCCTCCCTCTCCTGTCCTGGAGTTCTGCCTCTGCTTTCTCCCATCCGGTCAGGTGCCACAGCTGGGGGTTTTGCTCCTTTGTGTGCCTCCTGTGTCCCTGACTCTTCCCTCCACCACACTGCTTTTGTTCGGGCCTTCTTCATTCTTCCCCTGAAAATGTCCCCAGGACCATGCTTCTGACAGCCTCACCCCTGCCGAGTCCTTCACGTTGGGGAGGACCTTCCAGAAATGCTCGTCTGATCATTTCACTGCCCCACCTCCAATCCTGTCACTCCCAAACTCTCAGGCTCAAATTCATGCCACTTAGCCTAGCCCCCAGGCCCATCTCTTCACCTTTGTTTCCTGCCACGGGCACAAACCCACCTGCTCTCCAGTTCCCCCGAAGACCTAGCTTCCAAACCCACTGAGCTTCTCACAGCCCTCTCCCTTTGCCTCTGCCCGGCCCTCTGCTCCGAGTGCTTTTCGCTGTCTTCACCTCCTGCCTCCTGCGTGTACTTGCTATTTCCTTCAGGCATCGCCGTCTTTGGAGAAGCCTTCGTTCTCCACGCCCGAGTGCATACCTTGTCAGTTCTTACCACGTTCCTTACTTCCTTTATTAGCAAACCTGTATGGAGTGCCTGTTCTGAGCCGGGCGCTGTTGTAGGGGCTGGAGAGACAGCAGTGAACAGATCAGGAAGCTTCCTGCTCCCACGGGGCTTCAGCATCATAGGGGTGGTTGGGTCTGGTTGTCTCGGACTGGACCACAAGCTCCCCGGCACAAACCCGGCAGTGCTGCTCAGGAAGCCCTTGGTCCTGCTGGCATCCTGGCCCCCCATCCAAAGTCCATGTCCCCCGAGTGCAGTTCTTCCCAGGGGCTCAAGGGTACAGCTTATACAAGGCCAAGTGCCGCCCTCCACCACCCCTGCTAGGAGGCCTATTTAGGGAAGGCAAGAGATCTCCTGGTCAGCTCGGGGCCTCACTGCTGGGCCCGGGATCCTCACAGGGGCTGTCAGCAGGGAGGCCGTGCGTGGACCGCTCCCCATGTGCCTCTCCCCCTGCGTGCAGGGTTTGAGTCTCCTGCAGGACCCGCCCCGTCGCCCTCAGCGCCCCCGGCACCCCCATGGCAGGGCCGCAGTGTGGCCAGCTCCAAGCTCTGGATGTTGGAGTTCTCTGCCTTCCTGGAGCAGCAGCAGGACCCTGATACGGTAGGTGCTGGCCCGGGTCTGGCCGGCTCTCTTACCCGCTCCTATTCCTGGAGGCACCTGTGTCTTTAGCTCTTTCCCCACCTGCTTCTGGCTTCCTGCCCTGGCCTTCTGCCCCATTCCACTTCTGGGTTTCCCTTAGTTCCCCTATTCCTTCCCAGTCTTCCCTTCCACTGGCCCTCCCTTCCCCTTTCCTTTCCTCCCTCCACCCTTCCCTCTTCTTTGCTCACTCCGGCCCCTCTCTTCCCCTCCTCTCCTGGCACGGTTGATGATCCTACCCCAAAGCCCTCCCCTGGGGTCCTCTGTCCATCCCAGTTTTCTTGGCTCTCCCTCTGCTGCTCCCTCCCTGACCTGCACTCTTCTCTCCATGCCCTCTGCCCTACCCCTCAGCCCCCCTGCTCCATCCTTGCCCCTGTGGCTCTGAGGAGCCTCCTATGTCCGGCCCACATCCTTGGGACGCCACCCCCACCCTGTCCCCTTCGTGTCCCATGTCCTGGGTGACCAGCGTCATCTGGAAAGGTCAAAGCAGGAGGAGCTGGAGGAGGCGGGGCACCCAGGGGCCTTCACAGACCATTTCACTCTGATGTTTTCAAACTTGTGTTTTTAGCAGAGGAACCATTAATCAAACTCTTATTCAGAAGCCCCGTGTGTACAACAAAAGAAGTAGACTTTCTTTGGGTGTAGTCCAGTGCCTTTGAGGGGCACAGGGGCAGTGTAGCCCCCGTCTGCCGGGTGGAGCACAGTTTGAAAACACCTGATCTAGGTCGGTGGTCTGACATTGCAGATAAGAGAGGTCCAGAGGTAGGAAGTGATTTGCCGAGGGCATCCAGTGGCCAGCCAGGACTGAGACAGAGCCCTGTTTATTGAGCAGCGACTAGGCCTACTAGGTGCAGGCACAGCTCCAGAGGCTTTATACCCATTAACTTGGCTTTACATTGGGTCCTTTTACTGTCTCCATTTTACCAGTTGGGAAACTGAGGCCCAGAGAGCTGAAGTCACTTGGTCCAGGTCGCGCGGCTGTGATCCCAGCTCTGGTCTACTTTGGCTGCCTGCTACCCTGTGCCTGTCTCTCAAACCAGCTGTTCTCTCCGCAGTACAACAAGCATTTGTTCGTGCACATCGGCCAGTCCAGCCCAAGCTACAGTGACCCCTACCTCGAAGCCGTGGACATCCGCCAGATCTATGACAAATTCCCGGAGAAAAAGGGGGGACTCAAGGAGCTCTTTGAACGGGGGCCTTCCAATGCCTTTTTTCTTGTGAAATTCTGGGTAAGCCCTTTGATAAGCTCTTCCTTCCAATCCAGTACGTTGATGATAAGGAGGAGGAAAGAGAAAGAGTGGGTATCGGGTGCCCTTTCCACAAGTGCAAAGGGTGGTCCAAGCGCACAGCGGCCACAGGGTGGTGGGAGGCTGAACCCAGGAGCAGCAGGGGCTGCCAGAGAGCCAAGCTAGCAGGAGAAGGCCCTGTCCTGTGAGGTGATGACAGCCTCAAGGGGACTACTGGAACAAGACCTCAGGGGACACTGAAGGAGGGTCAGCAAAGAGCCTACATGGACTCTTGGAATGCCAAGTCCTGAGTTCGCTTTAGGGTCACAGCAGGGCCATGTTGGTTGGGCAGGGTCTGCAGAAGTGGGCTGTAGGTTTAGGATAGCTCACCCCAAGAGAGACACCCACCCAGCTTCCCAAACAGGCTTAGCCTCTGTAGCTTTCCCTGTCTCACCCCTGCATGGGAGCTATGAGAGGAGAGCTCCCTGCTTTTGAAACATCTCCTCTGAGCCTAGTAAGCTGTAGTGCCTGCTCTGGGAGCTTACCTCCCAGGGGCCCAGTGCACAAAAGGGGTGCAGGGAAGAGCGTCTGACAAGCGCACACTTAGCCCGTGGTGGGGAAGTGCAATAGGTCCTTCTGGAGCCTGCTTTTGCTTTTCTCCTGTGTGGAATCTATGGTTTTCCAGATCTCATATTTCTCTCTTTTTGGTGTCCCTGCTTATTTTTCTGGAAAGCATTCTCTGGTACTTCCCTAAGGAAAAATGTGGGATAGATAAATGTTCAAGTCTTTCCCTGTTGTTCTGTACTTGGTTGATAGTTTGACTGGGTATAGGATCTAAGTCATGAATCATTTTTCTAGAAATGACTTTCAAGATTCATTTTTCAATACACCGCTCCACTGTCTTCAAACACGAGTAGTGTGGTCACTTTCTGATTCTCTGTCCTTTGTTATGTCACTTGGGTTTTGTTTTAGTTTTTTTTTTTATTTCTGAAAAATTTGCATTTCCTTTCTATGCCTTAACACTCTTAAGTTTCACATAGATGAGCTTTGGGATATGTATGTTTTTACTTTCTGATTTTTTAAGCCAGGCCCTTTGAATTGTGAGATTTTGTTTCTCAAATTTGGGGAAATTTACTTATATGATTTCTTTCCCTTTGTTGGCTCTGTGTTCTTATCCAATAACCCATATTAGTCTTATTTTGGATATCCTGGACTTACTCTCTATGATTTTTACAATTTTTTTGTTGATTTCCCAACTCATTTTCTTGGAGATTTCCTTAACTGTATCTTCTAATTCTTCTGAATTGGTTGAGTGTATCTGAGTACATATTACATAGAACCCAGTATAGCAGTGGCATAAATAAGTAGTTTATTTTTCTTCCATGTAAAGTAAGTCTAGAGGTAGACTGTCCAGGGCTGGTCCGGCAACTCCTTGAAATCACTAGAGATCCTCTATGGAGCTTTCTTGGAAGTCACACACAATACTTAATTATTCTGTGTGGTTGTACTCTTTTAGTTGAGTTAACTGTCGTTCTGAATAAAATTAGGGTTCTATGATGATAGAAGAAAATGGATGAGTCTTTGAGTTGCTATTGTGTTCATAGTTCAGTTGATGGCATTTTTCTTTCTTAGTGGTTCAGAAGGTCATGGTGCATTGTATAATTAGTGATGGATTAGATTAATGGAATATGGTGGCATTCTCTGCCCCACCTTCTACTCAATGTCTAACTTTGACCATGATATTTTTAATTTCTTTTTTTTAAAGATTTTATTTATTTCTTTACACAGAGAGAGACAGTGAGAGAAGGAACACAAGCAGGGGGAGTGGGAGAGGGAGAAGCAGGCTTCCTGAAGAGCAGGGAGCCTGATGCCGGCTCGATTCCAGGACCCTGGGATCATGACCCGAGCCGAAGGCAGAGGCTTTAACCCACTGAGCCACCGAGGTGCCCCCCAATATTTTTAATTTTTAAGAGTTCCTTCTTGTTCTTTGATGGCATCCTGATCTTATTTCATGACTACAACTTTTCTTTTATCTTCCTGGGATACAAAGTGAGGCCCATGTGTTTATGTTTCTTCTGTTCCCTTCTTTGTATTTATTTCCTTTTCATCCTTTTTTCTATGTGTTTTGATGTCTGACAATGTCTGTAATTCTTGGTTCATATATAATTCACCTATCGTATAATTCATCGACTTAAAGTGTAGTAGTTCAGTGTTATTTACGGCTCCCGTAATACTTCGTTGTATGGAGATACCAAGTTTTGTTTATCCATTCATCAGTTGGTGGACCTTGGGGTTGTTTCCACCTTGTCTGAATAATCCTACTGTGGACTTCACACCCAAGTTTTTCTGTGGCTATACGTTTTCATGTCTTTTGGGGAGACGCTTGGGTCTTGAATTGCTCTGTCATATGGCAGCAACTCTTCGCCTTTTTTGAGGAGTTCCCAGACTGTTCTCCAAAGTGGCTGCGCCATAGTACATTCTCACCAGTGGTTTTATGAGGGTCCCTGTTTCTCCACATCCCTGCTGACAATTGATTATTTTCTGTGATTATACCCCTCCCAGTGGGTGTGAAGTGGAATTCCTTGTGGTTTTGATTTGCATTTCCTTGTGCTTATTGGTCACCTGTCTTTCTTCTTTGGAGGAATGTCTGTTGAGCTCCTTTGCTGATTTTTAAGTTGGATTGTCTTTTATTATGGAGTTTGAGCTTATATAGTATAGACAGAAGTCCCTTATTAGGTGTGTGGTTTGGAGATACTGTCTCCTAGGCCGTCAGCTCTTTTCACATTCTTGATAGTGTCCTTTGAAGCAGAGAAGGTTTTCATTTTGGGGAAGTCTGATGGAGTCTTTCCTTTGTTGTTTGCGCCATGTCCATATTTAGTGATCGGGAGCTCTGTGTACAGGGTAGGACTTGTCACCTGGTGGGCTTCACTTTAAGGTGCTCAGGGTTGAGGAGTCATCTGGTTTTTTTTGAGGGAACCAATAAATGTCAGTATGTTTATTAGACTTTTTTTTTTTTTTCCTTGAGGTGGTTCAGTTTCTCCAGAGAATTCTCCTTGAATGATGCCCCCGGAAGGGGATATACTTGGTCCCTGCAGCCAAGGTGTGGGACAGTGGGGAGGGCTGGGGATCCAAGCATTTCTTACACAGCTTTCACTCAATTCTCTCTCCCCCCTCTGACCTGCTCCCTGAAACCTGACGCCCTCCTGTAAAATTTCTAATGATTATTTCTTGGTCTTCTGACGAAGGGTGGGAGAGGTGGGCATGGACGCCTCACCGCTCTTGGTATGGCCTTTCAGTCAGCATCTTGTGCGAAGAAGCCCGTGCCTTCCCTGCCTGCACTGCCCTGGCCTCTCCAGGCCTGAGCCCCTCAGGGCTTCTCTCAACCACGGCTGCTCACTTCTTACTCTAAGGCCTCTGAAGGTGTTTCGAGGCTGTGATTCCACTTGCTTCCTTTACCCATAGAGTTCCTTCTAGCTCTGGTCAGCCTTTAGCCTTCTTGAATTTGTGGAACTCTCTTGCCAGTGTGGTTTCGCCTCTGTTTGCTTCATGTTTATGGTACAACACATTAAAAAAAGTTCCTTGCTATTGTTTCTAGTTGGTTCCCTGGAAGGGAAAAAAATGAACTTGTATGGTCCGTCTCCCATTTTAACCAGATGTCCTGGAAAGCAGCTTTAACTAGAGTGTTGCCTCTAGCGGATTGGTAGTCCTTGTTCGGCATGCTGGTTTGAGAAGATCTAGAGGGAGAAGGTTCCAGATTGACAAGTGATGACCGCCATGGGTGTAGCAATGGGGCAGATAGTGGCACTTGGCGACATCTTTACCATCCCTTCTCTTCAGGTAATGAGGAATCACGGAAGGTTTCCCAGCGGGGAAGGACACAGCCAGAGTTGTCCTGAGCTGGATCAGTCAACCGTCCGGACTGGAAGTGAGGAGGACGTTGCTCTAGTTTAGGTCAGGCAGGACCTCAGCCGGACAGGCTGGCCTTAAGAGTGTGCTATATGGGGCAGGATGTCTTTCTCCCTTTTTCCAGGAGGAGCTTAACCCACTTCACTTCCCCATTTCCCCTCTCTTCTGTCCCTTTTGGCCCCGGCCCTGAAGTTGGAAGTAAGAGGCTTTGCTATGGGCCGCCATCAGCAGCGTCTCTGTGTAGCCGGCGCAGTAGCTCCTGTTCCCTGCTGTGCGTCTGGGGGGGCTCCTGGCCTTTTTTGTGGTGGAAGCCCGTACACTCTGTTGAGTGCTCCTTCCCCCAGGCCCCCAAGCCAGTCCCGGCTTAGCCTTGGCTTGATTGAAGGGCCTTGGGGGAGGTGATTAGTGACTCCTCGGCACTGGCTCAACTACCCTGAGGTTGTCATTTCAGATCAGAAGGAAGGCCTGGTTGGCAGGAGGCATTTGTGGGAATAATACCTGGGGGGTGGGGGAATGGGGAATTTGGGGCCTTTTTCACTAGCTCCTGCCTTCTTTTAGTTAGTAGTAATATTCTGTATTCTTCTAGCCACCATCCAGATGAGGACCATCCTAGGCCTCCCCTTTCACAAAAGGGGGGGACACTGAGGAATGGAGTAAGCAAGGGCCTGGCTTTGAGACGTCCAGCCAGGGTAAGCCTCTTTCCTGTGGTCGTTCTTGTGACATACATATGACGTAGGTCAGGACATTCAGTGGAAGGTTACACCAGGCACTGCCCATCACTTTACATGTATCAGCGTGTTTCATGCTTGCCACGACACTGAAGGCAGGTTCAGTTGACGGCCTCATTCTCTAGAGGGGAAACTGAGGCACAGAGCGGTGAAATGACTTGCCAGGGTCAGCCAGTTCATAGCGGCTTAACGGATTCACACTCAGTGTGTGTCTAGGGTGTGTGCTTGGAACCAGGACATGGAACTGTCCGACCTTACAGAGTGGCTGTGGGGTGCCCCTACGTGGGGTCCTGCTTCTGCTGGAGAAGGTTGTGGATTGCCTGTAAGAGGCTCCACGAGGCCCTGAGGAGCGGCAGATAGTGACGGTGC